AGTCTGTTTTTTTAGATCAAATGCTTATAGTTTCTGTGCAGTCTTCAGTTAAACCCTCCATTTTAATGATTTTTGTATGTATGTATGTTCAAGTAAAGTAGGAATATTGAGATTGATAGTGTGATTGTTTAGGCAATGACTCCACCATCCCTTCCTTCTAGAGGTAGGGTTTTTATATCAGAGATACTTTGATTTTTCCCATGGTCTAATTCTTCTTGCTGCCATATTGATGATGGAAATTTTTACCTCTTATAAGTTGGCATTTGTAAAGTTATCAATAAGAGGGAAAGTATCAAACATCCTAATGACTCGAGCTTATGACTTTTGATCTCTTTTGGAATCTTTTATAAAAGTTTTAATATCAAATTTTAAATCCAATCCTCTGAAAGGATAACATGGGTATATAACATTGGACATTTGTTCAATCGCGCAACGCGCGTGTAAAAAACTAGTATTTACTATAATTGTAGTAACTTACATTTAGTTACTAAGCACGGAGTAATATTTTTGTCCATTACGTTTTAAAGAGCAAAAATTTTAAAGAACCACATGTGACTCCCTTATGGAGTAACTTATGGAGTATTGTGGCATCATTTCCACCACTTATTTTTTTGAAATAAAGACTAAAGTAAGATCCAGGACTTCTCACTTTCCAAAAGTAGGACCTATTTCCAATTGGACAAAAAAGAGACCTGACGTACGGATGAAAGCAAGAGACCCGCATACCATATCTCGGCTCCATCGCCATTTAGAGTGCGACCACTTCCGCTTCTGCAACAGACGAAGAGGTAGCTGACAACAATGGAGACGGGGACACCAGAGACGGCCAACGACGGCCCAGCGACGGCCCAGCGACGCCGGCGTTACAATGGTGGATCGAGTTCAGTCTTCCATCTGTGAGCTCGACGATGATGAGCTTTGGTGGCTGGTACAAATCTGTCGTCCACCTTGAGTCTGAGCAAATTGGTGATGCGTAGATCTAGAATTTTTGATTTAGGGAGATAGGAGTTCGAGCAATTGGAGAAGAGGCTGAGAATAGTGAGGCTCTAATGTTGGCGCCGACTAGAGTTGTCGGTGGGGGTGAGGCGGTGGGGAAGGTTGGAGAGGTGTGTTTGCACCGCTCGTGAAGGGGAAGGGCTGGGTAGGGTGCTGGATGGGGGCTCTTTGGGGCAGGGGGTTGGAAGGGTGCTCGGGGAGGGTGCTGGAGGGTTGCAGGGGTCTGGGTGAGGGTGTTAGAGGGGGGTTGTGGGTTGCTGGAGGTTGGTGGAGGGTGCTGGAAGGGTGCTGGGGGCTAGGAGAGGGTGTTGGAGGGGACTGGGTGCTGTTGGGGGGCTGATGGGTGATGGCGGCGATCCTCGTCAGACGACAACGGTGGTCAATGTGGTGGTCGGGGGCGGTGATGGTCGGTGATGGTGGTGGTCGGGGCGGCAGTGTCGGCGTTGGTTGAATTGGTCGTGGTCATTAATTGGGTTGGTCACTGGTCGAATTGGTCACAGTCGGTATGGTCATGATCAGATTGGTCATAGTCGGTTTGGTCATGACACATGGTCAATTAGATTGGTCACGATTGGTTTGGGCATGGTCATTAATTGGGTTGGTCATCGGTCAGATTGGTCACGATCGGTTTGGTCACGGTCGGTTTGGTCATGGTCGAATCGGTCACGGTCTGTTCGGTCATGGTCGAATTAGTCATTGATCGGATTGGTCACAGTCGTTGATTGGGTTGGTCACTGATCGAATTGGTCACGGTCATTGATCGGGTTGGTCACTGATGGGATTAGTCACGGTCACTGGGTGAATTGGTCATGGTCACTGGTTGGATTGGTCACTGGTCAGGTTGGTCACTGGCCGAATTAGTCATTGGTCAGGTTGGTCGTGATCAATAGTAGTAGTTTAGTCTCATTTTTGGAATTTTTTAAGTGGTCCTATATTTGTCCATGACACATAATTTAATATTATTTATAGACAACCCCCACCCCCTTTTTAGAGGGGACCTCCTCTAATAAATTGAATGGTGGATATGGAGACACAATACCCCATGTGACTTCATAAAGGAGTCACATGTGGTTCCTTAAAAATACCCTTTTAAAGAGTATTACCAAAGCCCCACTAACAATGGGACAAGATGGAGTGACACACAAACCAATAAGAAAGTGATTTGTGTGCTTGAAATTGAATTGATAAAGTAAAAATAAAATAAGAATGATTTCGAGCCACATAGACAATCTTAGAGCTCGTTTGGTAATAACTAAGTTGGCTTATTGGCTGATTCTGCTGATATTTATGAAGTTCTGGCTGATGTGGCTGTATTGGATGATTATGCTGATTTGTGAAAAATAATAATTTAAAATACATTTTATTAATAAAATAAAGAAAAAATTATATGGAAATAGCTAAAATGACCCTCTACAGTAACTTCAGCCAATACAACTAGAAAAGTAACTCTAACCTTACTTTTTCTTATTATTACACAATTCAGCCCGTAAAATCAAAAGTTACGTGTTTGGTGAAAAAGTTCCGTGCCTATATCATACATACATCCGGGTGTATGTACACCCGGTCCAATTAACTAAAGAAGACAACCCAATAACTAATACAGCCAAAAAAATTTGGTGGCATTTTTGTAATTTAAGAGAAAAATCACGTCTTCCGCTAAATGAGCAATAATGTACTTTTAGTGAGCATCTGACCTATTTTATTGAGTATTAGGAGGCTAACAATGAGTATCACGATCTTTGCTTCATATCTTCTAATTCTTTTTCTTTTTCTTATTTTTTCTTTTATAAAAACTTATTAAATTATATCTATAATCTACTCGTGTTAATGTCAATATGCAAGTCTAATGTAATATGATGCTTTTGAAATATGCATTGATATGACATTTTAAAATGACCATAACATCAGTACCAAATGAGCATACATAACTTACAAAGTGCACATGGATATGAAAATTATTAGGTTTGTAAGCTTGTTAGTTGAACATCACGACATTTTAATTGAGCATCAAACCTCCGGTATTGAAATGAAAATCACGGTTTCTGGTGAATGAGCATTAATGACCTTTTAATGAGCATCAAATCTATTATTTTGAGTATTAGAAGTCTAATATTCAAAATCGTGATCTCTGCTTCATAACTTCTAATTAACTTTTTTTTTGTTATTTTTTTCTTTTATAGAATCTTATTAAATAATATTCATAATCAACATCTATGAAATTTTCATTAAGCATCAAACTTCCTCCATCGAGATCGATGAAAATCACGATTTCTGTTATATGAGTATTAATGAATTTTTAATGAGCATCAGACTTATACAAAAGAGCATATGTAACTTACAAGATGAGCATTGATATCATAATTGTAAGTTTTGTTCGTCAAGCATCAAGACATTTTCAATGAGCATCAAACCCCCGTTATAATTCTCTATCTTCAATATTTCCCTGACACTTGTTAACTCTCGCCCTCCATGCGGGATAATCTATTTATTCCCCGGATGAACCCCCCTCCACAGTGCATACCTGCCCTCATCTAAGAGCCATAAGGCTTCTCTCCCATGCACCCACAACCCCGTACTTGTATTAGATGGGCAATAGCGATCAGTATGACCCAATACTTCATAGATGAAACAAAGCTTGGAGAGTCTCATATTTGAAATATGCCCATAACCAACTATCACCCTCTTCTCTGACTTATACACTTCTTTTCAATGCATTCTTGATAACTATAGACGTACGGATGCGAAGATACTCCTTACTGTCCCCTTTTACTTCTTTCATCAATATGAATCAGTTTTCCCAAGTATGTGTCGCCACTTTCATCGTCATAAAGCTTAATTAGAGGTAGGTTATGCATCTGAACCCAGAACTCCGCGTAATCGAGCTCTACCTCTAGTGGTCTATCTTTCGCTTCCACCCTCCTGATACTACTATATTTTAATCGAAGGAACACGTTTCACCTTGCAACACTTGAGAGTTATCATTTTCATGGTAAAATTGAACCATAAATCACATATCCCCAAATTGTTCAATACTCACCCCTCTACTCGGGCGCCATATCATTGCCATTGTCTCACGGAAGGAGATTGACCGGACTGATATGTCCGTGATAACCCTAGCAATAGCAGAAAAATGTGGGTTGTCTCCATCCCCACCACCAACATCTAAAGCTCCAAACTTAAACACTAATCCACTGTTTCTCTCTTCCTCAATAGACATCCTCCCATAAGCAAACAATATATTCTCCATAAGAGAGCAAAAAAGCAAAAGGACACACACAAAACTTCTTGTAGCAATCAAACTAGCAGATTCAAAACCAACATCACAAGCGTTTACAAAAAACGCACCAAACTCTCGACTAGAGTAGTCTCCTCAGTTAGACGAAAAGCCAGAGAAAAGACCAAGAAAAAAAAATATTGCGAAGGAGATATAATTGAACCTCAATTACCGTAGCACATGATTAGAGTTTTGCCGAGCGAGAGAGCGTTGATGCGTTGTCGCGCCAAACAAGAGATTGTTGGTGCGCTGCGCCACCACTGCTAGGGTTAACAAGTTTGCATATGTTATACATGTACTCTTTTTCTTAAATGTCTTTTTCCCGAAGGGTTTTCCAACAAGATTTTTAACGAGGTATAAATAAAACATCATAGGGGACCATTAATAGCATCAAATACAGGAAGAAAATTTATGTATAAAGTTTGTCCAATTAACAATGTAGCACATCTTTTTGATGTACTCTTTTTTCTTTGACTAAGATTTTGTACCACTGGATTTCCTTGTCATAGTTTTTAATGAGGCCACATTTCCAAGCGTACATTTTTTTTTTGTAATGACGTTCTTTAGTACGTAGATTATATATATAATGTATAATGTATAATGTATGATGTTATATAATGTGGCAGCATTTCCAAGCCTACATTATATAATGTATGATATTATATTTTTCTTTTAATGATTTTCTATACTAATGTAGACCCAATTATCCAAAGGAGAGTGTTATGGAATGTGGAAATGTTCATTGCATTCAAACACTCATTTGTTATTAGGGCCTAACCCATTATCTTGTGTAACCCCACCCTTTTCCTCCATGTATATATAGTTGTATACATCCGATATGTTAGTGAAAAGTGTAATGCCTTGATTTGATTGATTACAGCTTCGAGGATTTCTCTTTTATTTATAGACCAAATGATCGAGTGTCTTCTTAGTTGCTTCGTTTGCACACTTGTAAAGGTAATAATGGATGATCAAGACATGAAAGTTACGTTTGGTTGGGTGCGTGAAGTTTGAGTTTACATTGGCGAAAAGAATACATAACCAATGTCCATAGATACTTGTAAAAAATTAAACATCATCAATGACTTTAATTTATATATATTTCACATGCATGCCAATTTATCAGCTGAATCTGCGATCAAAACTAGATCTCAATGGCAGAAAAGAATTTTAATAAAAAGAAAAAAATAGAAAAGAAAAAGAAAGATAATTCTAAAACATCTGTTAATATTATGAATCTTCAAGAACTCCCTCTCTGCATGGTATGGTAACTTCATCATCAGTGAAAGCTTGCATTAAAAGGGGTTGACCACTCACTTTCCCAGCCTTGCACTTGCTGCAATTACAATATAAATATATTATATTAAATTTTTATGACACAAATAATATGAACAAATCCCACTAATATTACTCGTGAAAAATGATGAACAGGAATGTGACTTGGCAACTTTTAGATACTATAATAATGTTTAAAGTTATTATGATGATGATGTAAACTTTGAACACAATTAAGTCACTAAAAGTTACCATTTTTGTTCATTACTTTTTTATTTGTTATCTGGAAACAGTTTCTCTGTGCTCTAGTACAGGGGTAATATTGCGTACATCCGACCCCTTCTTACCCCATCATTGGTGGGAGCTTTTGCGACATTGGGGTAAGGATGATGAATGAAAGAATGACTTTTTTATTTGTAATAGTTTAAGAAAAACCTCAAATAATACGGAGTATTAATTTTACTCAAAAATAAAGAATTGGAATTTACCGAGAAATAAGGCGATTCGAGGTACAAGTCAGGGATGGATATGGACGAGTTATTATGATTATTGGTATTGTGGTGTTCTTTCCTTTGGGGCATTATCGTTTGTACGTCTTCTGATACAGACACATCACTTTCTGTACTTCCTCCTCGGCTGGTGGCTGTCGCTAATAATTGTTGTTGCCATTGATGGTGAAGAAACGCTGCATTTACTCCTTCTCCTTGCCCACTCGAATATCCTCCCATGTATGCTGCCACCTAAAATTATTATCCACCACAGTCAAATGGTATGGTAAAAAAAGTCAAATTTGAAACTCAAACATGATTAAGGGGTGTTTGGATGAAAAAGCAGAGATACAGATATGGAGTGTTTGAGTAAAAGTGCAGTAATATTTTGGGTGCTTCAATTACTCAAAAAAACATTTTTTTTAGAAATTGAGACTTGTTTTTCAATTCTGATTCTACTTAAAACAAAAAATTTAAGTAGAAGCGGAAGCAGAAGCAAAATCAATTCCAAACACCCGCTAAGTCTTGTATGTATTTCTATAGTCAGTGACGTAGCTAGAGCGGTATATCACTACTATCAGTCTCAACTGACACTCATATTTTAACGTCTTTTTTACCTTGATAGTTTAAATTATATACTACTACATAGTATATAATTTGTAATAGGCCGAGACCTAGCATGCCCCCTTAACTACATACGCCTTTGTCTATAGTTATGCTTTTGTAATACTACGTATGAGTATAATGGTATGTAGCACGAAAAATAGGAGGAAAGAAGGAAAGAGTGCTACATTATTCTAGAAACGAAAAGTCAGAGGAAAGAAGGAAAGAGGGCTACATTATTCTAGAAACTATAGACAAACTCTTTAGAAAATCTCTAAATTCTTACTTTTGTATTAAAAGAGGGTGACAATTCCGGTACCTTTCTAAAAACAGGGGTACCGTACCTAATATTCATTTGATTGAACCACATCATTTTATCAATTTTAATTTAGATTTAAATAATTCAACTGTTACCTTTTCATTGATCTATGTGGACAAAGGTATAGTACTGAGTACCATAGAAACTACTTTAAAAGATAGATGGTTTCTATTTCAGGTTTCCTTAACTTTCTCACGTTTGTATGCAACATACCTAGTTCAATCTAGGCTCAATAGCAGGCATATGCAAATGCATATATATGGAGCTGAGCTACTTAGTGTATGATATATACTCCCTCCGTAACTTTAGAATCTTCCCATTTCAAAAATAGGTAGATTAAGAATAGTGAAAGATGATATGAATTATTGAGGGTATGATGGGAAAATAGTGGAATAATGTGGTGGAATGTAGGATAAATCCAAAAAAAGTAGTTGTAATAGTGTATTATTTTAAGAATTATTGAGGGTATGATGGGAAGATTTAGAAATGGGAAGATTTTTGTGTTACGGACGAAAAAGGAAAGTGAGAAGATTTTTAAGTTACGGAGGGAGTATACATTATAATAGGCAGTACATACCTCTTTTGGGAATACGTGATCGTTGCCATATTCTAGCCTCGGGTTCAAAACAGCTAGTTTCATCGACAAGAACTGCATTTCACAATAGGAAAATGTTAATATACTTATATACCACTAAGTTAGGAGTAACACTAGAGAATTCTTTTGATACAATTTGTGACTACATTTTTGTGTGACATATATCAATCTTTAAATGATGAAAAAGTGTCTAATATCTCTATATTCAATAAATGTTTCGTGAGGATAGTGGCTACAAAATTAACCAAAAAAACAGTAGCACTGGCTCTACTGTAAAATAATACTCCCTCTGTCCCCCTAAGTTTGGGACGGAGGGGTGTGGTGTGGTTTTTAAGAAAAAGTGGAATTGTGTGGTTGGTATTGAATTGATAAAGTATAAATAAAGTAAGAATGAATTCTAACCACTCAAATGATACCAAATATGGTATGAGACAAACTTAGTGGGACGGACGAAAAAGGTAAAACGAGACAAACTTAAAGGGACGGAGGGAGTAATATTTTTTTTTTGGAATATAATTAAAATAAAATTTATGGGCTAAAGTTCCAATGGATATATACTCAATTATACATGTATCCACTATTTCATAACAATAATCATATAAATCAATAGTTAGGTTACTACTTACTTCAACTTGTTTTTGTAGTGATTGAACGTAATTAATGATTTCATCCAGCATTCCTGCTTTCCCAACAACTTTGTTGCAGCCGGGAACTAAATCTTGCAAACACTTCATTTTCTTACCGATTTTCTCCCTCCTTGCCTGCATAAGTATTGCAATGAATAAATGAGTAATATACTTTAATTTGCTAAATGATATTTTTATATTTGTGATTAATATATAGAAATTGTCCTGAATAGAAGTAAAAATATTTTGAAATTTAAAATACACGTTTTTAACTTTTAAATATAAGTAATTTTTGACAAGTTTGCAAAAAAAAATAAAGACTGGTAATCCAAACTTAGCAAAAATTACTCCTATTTACTTCGAAATAAAAACTTCACAAACCTAAATTAGAATTTCAAAACATTTTTACTCATATTTAGAAAATTTTCCCATTAATATATACATAATATATCATAATCATTATAGTTTAAAATTAAGCATAAAGTAGTCATTTATTTCCGCATATACGTAAAATTATTAATATATGGGGAAACTATTTTTAGAGTATGAGATAATTATAGTTTAATTTATTAATACGGAGTACTACGTAATTGGAGAAAGTTCTTACTCTTTCTGCTAAGCTATGGCTGTCGGTAGCTTGGCCACGGCGAGCCCTAACATGAATGTAATTACTGGACTTCTGAACGGCGTCGTTCTCGTTAGAGGCTTTCTTGTTCTGTTTAGAAGCAGAGTTCCCGGAATTCTCCCTTTCCGATTTCACAGTGATTTCCGACTGAGCCTCACCGGTTTCTGCTTCCCACTTCTTCTCTTCCAAGCATTGCTGTCATCAAGAACAACCAAATTCAGTTTACGAGGCAAAATTTATTAAATTGTAAAAAAAAAAACGAGTTCCACAATAACCCAAACCTCTGCTTTCCTCTTCCTCGTCGATCTCCCGCCGGGAGTGGTGGTGTTCCGGGCGTTCAACTTTAACGTCGTCGGTGCCGCCACAGCCGTCACAGAAGAATTGGAGCGCGACAAAACATTGGCGGATTCCTTCCTGGAGTTCTCGTTCAAGTTCCAGAGCGACGCTAAGTTGCCGTCAAGCACGCCGGAAAACGAATTCCCGGCGTCGTCGGTGGCGTGAATCGGCTGCTGGTAGAACCTGTGGAAGACGGCAGCCTGCCGATCAAGAACGGTCATGTCGCCGGAGATGGAAACGAAGTCACTCTCAGCAGAGGATTGCATGGTTATGAAATGGAATCTACTTATCCCGGAGAAGCAGAATTTTCCGGTGATGGAGGAAAACCCAGTATGGAAGTAAGAGGAATAGATTTAATTGCAGGCGATTTATAGGAAGGAAGAAAATGGGATTTTGATTGGAGGGGAGGTAAAGACAGCTGGAGGGAGGAGTGGACCATGATGGCTCCCGTTCCCACTACTCCTCCGGTACAGAGTCCATGTGAGAATGTCTGTTCGGACGGTGAACGGGAAATCAAGAACGGGGTTGTTTTAAGGCTGATTGCAATCCTGGGGTGAAAAGGTTATATTTGAGCTTTTGACCCCAAATATGGCTACAACCCAGCGTATAGCATGGTGCTAAAGTGGCTAGAGAGCACCGGTGGAGTGGATACGTGCTAAGTTATTCACGGAAGAGACAAAAGAATAGCAGCTTGGACGTATGGAAAGGAAAGCATGGTCCCATCCAAATTTATAATCCCAATTTTATTTAAAGGATCATAACTTTTTTATTTGTATTCCAATTTTTACAAAAAGTATATTAAAATTCATAACTTTTTATAATCTTTCATATGACACCAATATTGGATATATAAAGTTCAAAAAAAATATGATGTTTCAACTGTTCTAGATTTTTAGATCTAAACTTCTTCTTTAATAGTTTCAAATATTAAAATTAAAATCTCATAGTTAAAATATTTCTTTACAACTTTCTATTATTTTTCTTTAAAAAATAGGTCTAAATTAACCACTAAAAAACTAAAGTCCAAATTTATTAATTTATTTACATCGAAATGTTTGACTTTTCAAATCATAATTATTCACAATAAAAAATTGAAAAAAATCTTGATGTGTAATAATAAAATTAAGGAAATATTTGAAAATAATTTTGCTGTGTGAATATATTGACGGTATTGGGTTGCAGTAAAAATTGAATTGACTGAGTGAATACGTATAAAATGATGATAAATTTGATTTATTGACGGAGATGGGTTGCGGTTAGCCTTAAGGATACGAAATGTTTGACACCCGTACCTTCTTCGAACCCATCACCATTACTTCAACGCATTATTCCACTCAGGTTTACACCAATTCAGTGTTCCTCGCAATGCTTTTTACCCACCCATAAAGCCATAATAACTCTCATCTTCTAAACCCGCACCGATAGCTCAACTGGTAAAATGGTGAGAAAGTTGGACAATGACCAAAGATTAAAATTGTAGCGGTCATGTAAAGTTCACAATTCCTGTGTGCTGGATTAAGCCTTTGGTGCACACAAATATAAGGTCTATCACTGTTATAATGGTTGAGTCACCTTCACGTTTGGGAAGATACATGAGAGTTTTAAGAAAATAAAGAACAAATTATTGTTTTACAATTCTAACCCCAAAGAGTAAGAAAAGTAAAATATATTCATAAAAAGTAAGAAACGAAATGACAAACAATGCTATCATGTAAATAAATAAAGAAGTAAAACGGTAGTAGATTTTAATTTTGAAAAGTACTCATTTTTTGGACAACCCAAATAGGCAATTGTATATTACAAATTGGGATGGATGGAATATATGTGTGTTTACTATTGTCTATGTCTAGTCATAACTCGTAACTATTTACATCTAGTATGATCTATTTTATTCTGGTGTAGTCTGATATGAGACTCAAACAAGTCTTAGTAAAAACATTGTTAGCCCTCTGTAGTTAATACATATTTTATTATCTCTTCAAAATTATAAGCATGAATAAGGGTAAGGGTATCTTGGTATGAAAAATGTGTTGGTGGTACCGATAGTTATATGAGCTTGTACCATGTGCTTTGTTTTTTTATATTCTTCTTTGTCCAAGTTCCCTTCTATCCAGACGGAGTTCTACCCATCGTTCACTTTTGGTGAACCCCTGCTTTTGCCAGCATGCCAGAAATCACAGAATGGAAGCAAAGAGTCAAATGGTTAATCAAAGCATTGGCTGCTTCCACTTGTGGCTTTATTCGGGCTCCTTTACACCAACATATCAAGGAACCCCATCATCCGCCACAAGTAGGTGGCGACTAGGAGGGTCGGAAACCCCAACGAGGAACCTTTCGCGAAGCTCTCTCTCAGACGATTCCATTCCTACCCCCATAAGCAAAGCGGTTGAAAGATACTAGGTGACCGAAGGGAGGCAGACTGGGAGACTTCGATGGTTAGCGGCATCATCCAAAATTTATTCCCGAATCTTGCTTATAACGTGAATTCATCAATGCATACATCATCTTACAACACTAGATGAGTGACCCCTAACCAATGAGACTGTCCGGTTTGACTAACACCTGAAAAAAGGTTAAGTTTCTTCCATTCTCAATTGATTGGCTCTATTGTTTAGTTGTTATCTGTGTTGCTCTATTGCTTAAGTATTTTCTTAAACATTTAAAATCAGTTTGGAGTATTACAAAATACAAATGGCTACAAAATATTATGAAGCACACAATGTGTTTGTGAAATTGTCTAGGTGAGAGTCTTTGTGTTTTCTGACTATTCATTACATGCTTATCCATTTCAATTTAGTTAATACCCTCAACAGTACTCTGTCAAATTTCAGCACTTAAAATATTCAGTCATAGTGAAAATTTCATTTATGGGTTTAGGCAGACAAAAACGAGGTTTAGTAACGAATAAATAAATACATGCAATATTTGGTATATTAGAGCAATGTACTATACATTTTTATCTCCATATTGGAAATGTGTTTCCTAAAACATAACTAAACAATTAAGAATGTACAAAGTGCATTCAAATGAACTAAAAGTGTATTTCGTCCTTTGTTGTCACCAACTTAGAAATTACCAATGACATGGTTATTTAATATTTGCATTCAAATTGACAATAATGTGTTATTTTTAACTTATTAGGTTAGTATTTTTTTCTTATGTAATTCTAAAATTGGACTAATAGATCATCAGCACTTCTATAGCAATTTATGCAATTCATTATATGCCACAAATAAGAGTAGGTGAACCATTTGCACGAGTGTTTAAAACACACACATTGATACATGTATAGAGCCATGTGATATGAACTTCTTTCCTTCATATTTTGGGTACTTTGTATCTGTTTTACGATGTAACTACTGACTTTTTAAATGGACACTAATGACATATTACTACTTGTCAGGTTTGCAAAGATGGTTCTATTTGATAAATCAACAAGACGATGTTTTGGTTTTGGAAAACCAAAATAGAGAAAATTTATGGAGTAAAAAGATTGAGTGTTTCCCTTTTGTTTGCTGAAAATTTGGCAATGTATTTGCACCTTTTCTTTCTTAACACTCATATTACAAGTACTATACTGAAATATTGTTTTTAAAAATAACAATGAGTGTATCTCGTGAGGCCACCACCACCAACGGTGAGAGGATTTGAAGGAGTTGAAGGGGTCATGCTATAGGTGCTGGAGTGAAGTCTCTTTCCCTAGGAGATTGAGTTATTGCCTTTCCACCAATTCCAGGCATGAAGATTTTTAAATTATGATATTAGAAGTTTTAAATGCAGACTTTAGTTTTATTCACTTCTTTCTCTATCAATATTCCTTCTCTTTGTTGTTCAATTAGAATATTTTTTGAAATAATTATATAAATATGACCAGAATAAAGATGATTTACAAAAATATGACTAGTGACTAGAGTAATAATGAATCATAGTAATTCATGTTCAAGTTTTGAACTTAAGTTACCACAACACCACATTGTGGTAATGAATAGTCGTATTTATGTAAATATGTTTTATTTTGGTAATATTTATTTTGCTAAAAGACATGAAGTCTGACTTTTGCATATATTTATTTCTTTCATTCTGTTAGCTTTTGTATTGTGTATTATAAGGTACCTAAGAATTGCATTTTTCTGAGGCAACACAATGTAAGTGCATGCAATAAAGTATAGTTGCCAAGTTTTAGGTTGTGCAACATATACCTTTCTATCTGTTAGATGCAAGAAAAACGTCTCATTTTTTCTTTTGGTAGGCACATGGTAAACTTATGCTTTAAAAGAACAAAGTTTCTGGTATAAAGTTAACAAAAGCACACCAATGGAGTATGCTGCCACTGTTATTGTTAATCCAATGACTGTCTTGAGAATGCTCGAGGACTTTGTTGCATTAGAATCATGTATTTTCATTTTAAACAGGTTACCGCTGCTCTTCCTTCAATATGCATGTTTTGATTTATGCACACATATATATAGGATATTTTATTGTGAAAAATGTTTCCACAAGCGTCGTGGGGCAATGTGTTATTCAACTTGCTCGAGTTAGAGGCATTCCCAGTCTTAACATAATTAGAGACAGGTATTTACTTGGATTGACCCCCACTTTCAACTTCATTGGTTCAAAATGTACGAGGAATGCCTTCTTTTTCACACAATTTTTTCTTTGTTTAAGCCTTATGTTGATTCAAAAGAGGGGAGGAGAGGAAAGTGAATTTGCTCCAAAATGAAGGAAAAGGAGCCCAATGATTCATCCAAAATACACTCCAAAATTGTAATGGATCATTTCATAGTTTTAGTTTTTTTTTTCTTTTGTAATTCTCATTAGCCCTATATAAGTTGATTCAAGTTTTTGCCCATATTTTTTTCTTTACCTGTGATTAATTAATCACTTGTTGCAGCCTTATAACTGGTTTTGTAGTTTTAGGTTTTTCTTTACTTGTAATATGACTTTATTCTGTGTGAATGACTGTACTTCGAAAATTAATGTACTCTTTCTTCCTAATTCAAACTTATTTCATTTTTGTTCTTTTTATGTGGAGCTTAATTTCCATAGCAAGCTAGCCTTGCAAGTGTATTCCATATACGTAGAGTATATGATATTGGGCATTTACACAATCGCGCAACGCGCGTACAAAAAAACTAGTATGTAGACAAAGTCGGTCAAGGTTCACCAAAAACTACATTGCACTGCGAAAAAATATTTGAATTGTAAGGTGTTAGAGACTGTATAACAAAGCTCATTCCGAAATTTTTTGGGGTCTTTTATATATGGGCCGCACGTTCTTTCATGGTTGGGTTAGGTTTTTTGCTCTCTATAAATACACTCTCTCTCCTTGTA